GTTTTATTATGCGAAAAGTTGTGTTTGTTTTTAATGAAATGAATAAATGAATTAAACTTGAACTAAAAGTAACAAAAGGCTTCATTGAAGCTACATTTAGCAAAAGGATAGATAGAAGCTAAACGTATCAAAAGGCAGGCTAAAAGCTGACTCTGGCTCCACCATGTAAGGYTGGATGGACAAGTCTTTCTTTGTTGACATCTTTTAATTAATTTGTAAATATCTCTTTCAATGAATTGCTTTGGAAGCTGGAAGGGGACGGWGTGCAAAGCGTCTCGTTTGGATTTAAAGAGACAGCATCAAAACGAGYTGATCTGAGACAGCTCAGAAAAGGGGTGAAAGAGGAGCTTGTSGAGTTACAATAAGGAGGAATTCAAATCAAAGTATTGCAGGTCCACTTGTATGGACCCCAACTGAATGATTTTATTGTGAAAAMAAAGGATTCAAAAGCATGACACGTCTCCTTTAATGGAACATGTGTTGAAGTTTATACAGACCAAAAAATCATTTAGACAGGTGAGATTGACAGTAAGAGCCCCAAACATGTAATTATACTGTGTGCTCTTGTAAACACGTTCCAAACATCTACMCTGAGGCTGGTCTTTAAATGGCAGAATTGCAGACATAATGATTTTCAAACGCAGGTGAGCATCTTCAATGAGGGCAAGCGGCGGGGAAACAGGATGTGGTGGCAAACAATTAGCGCCAGTTGCCCGCCTAGCTGTGAAAGGTCATTAAGACCTGGTGTGCAGACCGGAAGACATACCACTGAGCTTTGCTTCATGCAGACTCATGCCCTTAATCACACCCACAGTCACAGAGACATTTCATTAAGTAAAAAACAAAAAAGATGGAAATTTAAACATTGGTTTTTCAGTGATAAAATTCAAGCAATATGTTGTTTCAAAAGGACCAGACTCTGGTAGTTTCAGCTGATTAAAGTCAATGCATCACAGGGGTACAGCATCATGACTCATGGAAGTTAAAGTGCTTTAATAAACTCCACTGGTTTCAGGTTTTTGAAAAACATGGTTTTGTTATGTGGACAGACAAACCACCATTTTTCTGCTTGTGTGTGTAAAAACAAGACCATTCACCACCAAAAGGTGAAAAGCAGTTGATAGGCTTTGTCTGTGTTTGTGTGTACAGCTATCTTTGCCTACAGCTATAATTATTAATCTCTTGAGGCACAATGGTGTGGTTGGTAGAGCTGTTGTAGCTTAGTGAGAATCTTGGTCTGAGTTTGCATGTTCTTTCTGTGCATATATATAATTTTATTGCTCTTCCAGTTTAGGMTGACTGGTATATTGAAATTGTCTGTAAGTGTGAGTGAGCGAATTGTTTGGTTCGTTTTTGGAACCATATGTGAGGAGTTCTCTTATGGACTGGAACCAGCAATGGATACATGCCTAACTATGTGGAGTCCAACAGAATTAAAGAGTTCAGGGCAAAGGGGCTAAAGTGACCATGTGATGCACTAAACCCCACCCCTTAGACYMTRAAGTCCTGAAACATTCCAACACTATCAGGACCTTGGACAGTTCTTTCAGCCCTTCACACTGTCTAAAGCAGTGATTCCCAACCAGGGGGTATGTGAGCATTTTACAGGGGGTACCTGGAAAAATTTCCCAGGTGTGTAAAAAATAAATGAATAAAAATAGGGCTGAGATATGTAGGGCCCTATGATTTTTGCAATGCAGAAATTGCAGTCAAAATCATGGAATTAACACAAAATGGAATCCAGTATAAAACGTGGAATCTCATGGCATTTGCTCATTTGAGTGAGTTTCTGATGTATTTTGGATGCTGCTGTTTTCTGCACCTGTCATTTCCTGCTTTATTTATTCAATTACTTATTCACTTTCAAGGCAACATATTTATCTTTGTGTTTAATTTCAGTTGAAAAAAATAAAATGCCTTAGAATTAAATGTTCTAGGGGGGTTAAATAAATAATTTTCATTTAATTATCAGCTGTAGTAAATTGTAGTTTTGGAGAATTATCATTACATTTGACTGAAGGGGTACTTGTGGTATGACAACATGGCTCAGGGGGGTACACAAGTCTAAAAAGGTTGAGAATTACTGCCTTTACACAATGACTGCTGAATATTTGCACCAGAAGGACGAAGCAATTAAATTTAATGGATGAACGGGCCTCCAGTCCAATTTTGTTAAAACTTGTGGAAAATGATAAGTGAAAGCACCCCTAAAACTAATAACAAATTCAAGATGGCCGCCATAGTCAACTGACTACGGAAAGTACAAAATAGGCTGTAATTCAGCAAAAGTTACAGCTGAAATTTGATACAACACATACTGTTTTCCAAGTGATAACATTCGTTTCTTATTTGTCTTATTTCTCTTGGACAATTAAAAGTAAGGGAGATCCCCTGGTTTTACCTCCTTTGTTTTAACAAAACTTTATAGTCTCAAATGACAAAATGCTTGTTGACGCAGCAACATTTGAATGAATATTATTATTGTTAAAACTTTATTTGACCAAAACACCCATTGAGATTAAAAATCTCTTTTTCAAGGGAGTCCTGGCCAGGATAGGCAACAGTACAGTTATGTAACCAAGCCACACATTCAAATACAAAAAGRAAATAAGAAACATAAACATGCGAAATACATTTCAAAGCAAAACTAAGACGATGTACACATTATGTTATGAAGCACAGATCTCCTCATTATCAATTTAAAAGCTTCAATAATCTRTTAAATTCTAGTAATTCTGCAACATATTCCATGCAAAAGGTGCGGAACGAGAGAAAGCCTTTTTAAACATTTCTGTTCGGGCAAATAAAACTAAAAGCAACAAAATGTCACAATTTTTTCCCCCTGAAAGTTTAGCAAACATAAGATTGGAGCCTTAATTTGTGCACATACAACTTTCATCCACACTCGAAAAATGAAATGTTGGATTTACTTAACCATGATATGTTACCTGGTTCCACTTAACTGAGTTGAGTAAATTCAAAGCAACATACTCATGTTCTTTGGCTAAAAAACTGGTATATTGCTTTGAATTTACTCAACTCAGTTAAGTGGAACCAGGTAACATATCATGGTTAAGTAAATCCAACATTTCATTTTTTTACAGTGCATGAATGAAAGAAAAGTCAGAAAAAGATTGAAGGAGGCAGAATTTGGCAGCAGGGATTTACCATCAACACCTTTAGCTGCTTGTACGCAGGGAATGGCAGAAACCTGTGACAGCCTCCTTTGATTTAGTCCTGAATATCAGACTGTGACATCACACCTCATTTCTGGCAGCTGTAGGGACAAACACAAGGATACCTACATGTTGGCCGCCAGCTTTTTTTTTTGTTTTGTGGAAATGGAAAATTCAATACTGTTTAAATGAGAATCAACACTCTTTTATTAATTTTAGTTTTTAGCGTATTTGCAAGGTTGAGTGTAATTCTTTTTTTTTTTACATTATAGAGACCATGTTCTCTTCTTTTGCAGACCTCAGGAAAGCATCTGAATAATAAAAAAGTGAATGTAGCTGAAGCCTTTAGATGTATGAATAGATTATAAAGCACTGCAGATGATTCAGACGTGGTCTCAATAAGGAAAATGCACTTCTTTCTATAGAGGAAATGTTGCAGAGGTGATCCGGTTTCGTCATAGGGGCAGGAACAGGCACGGCGGTGTACTGAGAAAACACAAATCTAATGGACAGACAAGTGGTTTTGTAAAGCCTTAGTACCAGTGTGTCATCCAAGCTCTCCAAGCTTAGGATAAAGCCTCCATCAGACAAAAAAAAAATAGATAAAAAAGTCCACTAACAAACAGGATGGTGCAATAAGCCTGAAACAAGCATCTTTTATCAGATCATTATTACTTAGGGGGACAGTGGGTGCAAAAGAGAATGAAAAAGTCACATTATATGTCAAATTATCTTTTGCATCGTGTGTGACATCTACTAAAAGAAAGATCTCAGCTCTGCCCCCCCCCTTTTTTTTGCCATGGCCTCAGTCTATGGAAAGCTGTGAAGGAGAGAATTCTGAATGAAAACCCATTAGCAAAACTCATGAAGAGGRGCTTCATAGATTAGATGTGATAAATAATGTTCTTCTTTCAGCCAAGCTTTATTATTGCAAAGCTAATAAAACATTATCTGCAGGCCTGTCACTAAAACAGTTTTAGTCACAGCACTGATAGACACAATGTGTGTGTGTGTGTGTGTGTGTGTGTGTGTGTGTGTGTGTG